ACATATAATACAGTTGATGTGCTACAGCAAAGATATAGATATATTTTGTGAATGGCTATATGACTGCTATTAGGCCTATAAGCTATTACAAGCTGTAGCTAAAATGAATAGCTAGGCTAAATGCTACCATATATTAAATGCTAGGCCAATCATGCTCTTTAATGGCCTGTTCTACATCAAGATAATGCTATACCGCAACCTGGGTACCCATAAATAAGTGGCGGCCGCCAGATAAATAAGTGGCGGCCGCCAGATAAATAAGTGGCGGCCGCCAGATAAATAAGTGGCGACCGCCAGATAAGTAAGTGGCGGCCGCCACATAATTATCTGGCGGGCGCCAGATAATTACCATGCAAGTTACGAACCATGCAAGTTACGAATCCGGCCTGTCAGGGACAGTAGTCCTCTTGTCCGGGGTACTAGCCCCCCCCCCCATCGGTACGTATCAGACCCCTGTCGGAAAAAAAGCTGGCACCACCACTGCAATCCATACGATCACAAGTATACAACACCTCGCACATCGGTAGCACTGCTCGCACTAAACAGTTTTTAATCCCTAAAATTTGACAGCTTAGTACGGCATGCTTGAATTGTACTTTCGGGGCTCGCGATTTGATTTTTTCCCAACGACCTTTGCTGGAAATTCCCCGACAGGGGGTCCAAGCGGGGGGACCGCTGGTCGCCGACGGGGGTCCTTTTCCCCCTGGACCCCGGCTAGCGCCGCCCTGGTTTTGAGTGGCATTTGCAAACATGTAGGCTAGGCCTAAATTATTTTTGGTTTATTCTTAGGTTTTCTACAAATACCCAATTTGCTTCGATTTGCCATCCATTCACACTTGAACTTTCTAAATTCAGAACATCAACATCTCCAAATTCCTTTAGTACAAAATAAACCACAACTGTGCATTTATAGAAACCCAAGAGTTGTTGGCCTAATATTTATTTTATGGACACACAAGAAGTAATGTCTACAATCTTTGTTTTCTTTCTAAAATTTTTAAGCTATCATTTCGATTAGGTTATAATAATATTCATTCATTCACATCAATCTTAAAACTATCATCTCTTCAGAATCCCCAAATCAGGTTTTGGTGACGGCATCATGAATGTTGATGTCACCGAAACTGATACTTATCAGATCTATTAGGTAGAATCGGGAATCGTATAAAACTGCTTGTTTGGGGGACAGGCCGTGTAATCCTGGCTACTAAATAACACGATCTGATTCTTTAATAATTCTGATTGACACTCTGGAAAATACCCATTATCTTAACTATAAACTACGTTAACTAGGTTTAGCCTTAAAAACTGCAATATTGAGGTCTAAAGTGTAATCACAGTGTAATTTTTTACAATACTAGGCATACAGTTCGCACCTCCAATTCGAGACAATAGAGACCTGGAAACTTTGGGGTGGTCTCGGGGTTCGGTGTTCACTCAGAGGGTTGGATTTGTGTTAACAGATTAACGATTGTTATTTGTTTCTTTGAAAAAAAGGTGGTCTCAAATTAGAAGGGTTTCAATTGGAGGGTGGACTGAGGCTCTATATGAGATGTGCGATTGCGCATGCAACCAAGAACATTGTGCTGGTGACTGTTGTGATGGTTGCGCCGTTACATTTATCTTTCTCGCAGACATGGTAGCAGACCTTGATTCCTAACACTTCACTACATCCTTCAGTATAGGCACCACACCCACGCTCCACATTCTCGATGCCAAGGACTTCTGCTTTCGATTTCTATAGAATATACATTTTAAATGGTTATAATTATAGTTATATAATCAACAATTCCATCTGATTTTATATATATGGTATTATGAAAAATGAAGTTTGATGACGATAGGGCCTGTTTTGACAATTATGGATGTGGTTTTTTTTTCTGCTTGGTGTTGTTTTCTGTTTTTGAAGATGATAATGCTCGATATCATGTTGTCAATAGTCAGCGATGACAAGAATCATTATATTAATTGTTTTATTTATTATCAAAACATTTAGGCTTAACTTATAACTATACAAGTCATTTGCTTTGAAATGATGAGTATTTTTGTAATGATAATAGCGTTCGTCATTATGTTAAAGACGATTCAACAACGAATATGACTTAGGTAATATTGATGATGTTTCACTATCATTATTATCATCATCATTATCATTATCATATTTATTATATTAACGTTGATAAGATGAAACCGAAAGGTCCACTGATTAATCTCAGATAAGGTAGTGTATATATAGGGCCTACCCCAAGTATCGAGATGCAATGTGATGACATAATTAATGTCGAAATATTGAATCCCGACACGATGGCGTTCATTTCGATACTTGGAGTATGTATTATACTATCTTATTGATACGATGAGATTATCAGATCAGTGATGGTAAGTATAGCATTAATTCTTTAATTTATTATCAATCATTTGATAATTTATAAGCTCACGGGGAACCATTTGCATTGAAAGTAGTCTGCGAAACCAATAAGCTATCTGCAGTTCAATATTTTTAGAATTAAAATAAAAAGGATAGACAGTAAATTGAAAACAAACAGCACTCTTTACAGACTGACAAATTTTATTGACAATAAAATTTGCTGTTTTGTCTTCAATTTACTGTTTATCATCTAGATTGCACGGCTATCTACTTCACAATAAACAGAATATAGATTTTACTTACAAAGCACTTGTCGGTAGTGCAATTTACAGTGTCGATCCCCTCGCTCGAGAACGGGTCGCCACAGTTGGAACATTGGTAGCAAGTAAGTCCATTGGCTGAGAAAATTAAGCAAACTTTGCTTGAGAGAATGATAATGATATATTTAGACATTAATACTCAATCAAACTTAACAAGAGACCTATCAGAACATCGCTAAGTGTGTAACAACAAACGCACGTATAACTTACGTACGTTTGTGCTATTTTTTTGTGCTAACTTAGCAACAATAACCAAGGGCATGGCTTTAACTGACAGGTTATATTAGGCTCTGAGGGCTCTATTGCAAAATAGCCGCAGACCGCAGGGCCTGAAAGCATTTTTAAAGAACATACAATCATATTAATAATTTATAAGTTAATCACTTTGTTATAGGCGTACCTACCTATCACAGCAATGCAGGTCAATGTTGCCAAAACAATCCAGATATTAAGACTCATTTTCAACCTGTGAAAGTAGAAAAACCGTAAGTAGTACTGCATCTACGCATTTCGCCAAAATTTCGATAAATGTGATGTTATAATTAAAGATAGAGATCATCCCCAGAAATATATAGACTTACATAGCCAGTGGCAGTGTTTTTGAGGACAAGAGAGAGGAAATATCGCAAGAAAGTGTATACCAATTGTACTGTTTTTTTTAAATTATATTGGTTTTTTTTTTTAATGATATCTTAGAGATATTTTGTGCTTTGGTGGAACAGCGAAACTGTATTTCTGACGTTAAGACCTCCGCACAAAAATATACACATTGCAAATTATCTGGATC